TTTTTTTTTTTTAAAGCTATTTTATGTCAATATCTATGCAGAAGATAGATCAGAGCAGGGATTCCCTGAAATAAAAGGAATTGACCTAAACTATAGATGAAAGTTAAATAGAATTACAGAAAGCCCAGGCTATTTTGCCCATTTCCACCTATCTCCAAATGAAAACTTACATTTAACATATTATATTTAGTCACTTCTTGGTGACTTGAGGTGACACTAATTTGGTATAATTAGACAGACAATTTGGGACAAATTGTGTGTTAATCATCAAGCGGAGTGTCAAATATTGTTTTCCTCTTCTTTTGATGAATGCTTTATCGCCTCACTAATTAGGATGCTTTGAGGATAATTCTTAGGCCGCCTAATAGACATGTTTCCCTCCATTTCGTATGATCTAATAATCACTCGTGCTAATTTGCTTTTCTATGGGACATTAAATAAAGATGGTCCGGTAAGACTCCATTAAAATTGATCCTGTGTGGAACGAACGAGAGAGAGCGACCCCCCCACGTGGACTCTCTCTTTTTTTTTTTTTTTTTTTTTTTTTTTCTTTTAATTTTGTAAATGAATATTTAGCCCAATTTATTTATTTTTCTAATACGTCCCTGTTTGGATATTTCAAGATTTCACTAATCATGAACACAGTGTGAGTTAATATATGCTAGTTTACCAAGTTGGAAATGTTCATTTTTAGGTCTCTTGGTGGGAGTCCTTTTACTCTTTAGACCAAGTAGGACACTTTGCTCTTTTAGACCAGTCTTTAGAGAAAGTACTCATGTTGTGAATTTTAATTTATTTTGCTTTCTGATTAATTTTCTGAAAGAAAAGGGTGATGATTTTGGAATCTCTTCTGATGTTGAACATCAAAATCTACCACTTATCTTCAAAGTGGAAATTATCCTTTCTTTTTTTTTTATGACGAGGAGGACATTATTAGGGGAGTTTCAGATTAAGATGGTTTTATATTTTTGTTTTGCATTTTTGTTATTGTTTTCTTTCTTTTTTTTTTTTTTTTTGAAACGTTTTTTTTTCTTTTCAATTACTCTTTTTTTTTTTTTTTTGGTTAATTCTTTTCAATTAGTCTAATACCTCTTACTTTCGGCCAATGTCCATTAAAAGTGCAGTATAACCTGGACAGTTATTTGCCGCAAGAAAATGTATAGATATTTTCCACACCCAAAAATCACGTCTGTTCTATATCTTGGCGACTGATTAAACAGTCCATCACATCTCTTAATGGAAAAAGAAGGAAAAAAGGGCCCACAAACACCACAACAACTTGATGGGGAAAATAGCAGGAAAAAAGAAAAGAAAAAAGAAACTAGATGGGAAAAAGAAAAAGAAAAACAGAGAGAGAGAGAGAGAGAAATGTACTCACAAGTGATTTTGTTTGTTCCTTCGTATGAAATTTACTTATTAAAACACAGATCTTACACAATAAACATTCGAGGTCTTTGAACTTTTGCCGCTCATAAGTGTATTTGGCATTAAAACTTAATATATATATATATATATATGAAGAAAAATACACCCCAAGGAAAATGGTAACAACTCACAAATCTGGTTACAGTCTAGTCATTATCATGGACGTTTAGTAAGACGATTCATACTATGATTTGAATCATAGTTCATAGTTCGTTATAGTGTTTTCTCTCACAAAAAATACACATAAATTAAAAATGATTCTAATACCATGATTCTAATTTATGAACCAAACGTCAATACTTGAAACAAGGGTATTCTGAAAAATTCAAGTTAATTACCATATAGATTTAAGAATGAACTATAAGGAACGTTCTATACGAATTTTAAGCACTTGATCATAACATAAAAGTGATCTTCTTAATTTGTTGTAAGAAGTTTGAGTTTCCAAATTATTTGTTCTTCCCCTAATGAAAGTCCAATAAAAATTATCCCAAATTCTTTATTAATTATATTGTGGTTACAGGAACTCTTTTTCTTCCCATGAGCTACCTAAACCTTATTCAACCCTCCACAAAACCCATTCTTTTAAAGCACAACCATGCCATCTTTACATGTTTTTGCACTTGTTTGTCACATTATTTATACAAACATCTTCTTTTCATTCCCATCAAAAGACCAAAAAAAAAAAAAAGAAAAGAAAGAAAGTACCATACTGACCCCACATATGACAAGGTTTGTATATCCTAGCTTCTTTATTTCCCTGGTTGCGAGCGAGTAAGCATCAATTCAAACATTTTAATCTTTGCTTCATTAGTCCCACAATTTCCTTTTTCAGCAAGGCAAAAGAAATTAAATTTGCAATTAGCATATGTTACTTTTTTTTTTTTTTTTTGGGTTCTAAATTGGTTAAACTTGATTTTTAATATTTAGGATGCAAAGAAATAGTACTAGTGCTGGAGCCCAACCAGCCTGTGCGGCATGTAAACACCAAAGGAAGAAATGTCACCAAAGCTGCGTATTGGCGCCCTACTTCCCCGCTGAAAGAAGCCGGGAATTCCACGCGGTCCACAAGGTTTTCGGGGTCAGCAACGTGACCAAGATGGTGAAGAGCG